TAGGTCAGACAGAGGTTACTGACGGCCCAGAGTCGTTAAAAGAGTTACGCAGATCGGCGACGATCCAAGCTAGAGTTCCAGGTCGGAGATTAAGTCCTCCTCAAGGTATCCCCATGGAAGGGGGTGATTCGATTCCAGAAATGAGGAAATCTAGGTCCTATATATATCGGTCCTTTCAGAGTGACCACTCGAGTGGGGAAGGTAGCTTATCGGTTAGAGCTACCTGCAGAGTTGAGCCAGATTCATAACACCTTCCATGTGTCCCAGTTGAGGAAGTGTATAGCCGATGAGACGACAATGGTTCCTTTAGAGGACATTTAGGTTTATGATCGCCTGAACTATTTTGAGAGGCTGATAGCGATCTTGGACCGGAAGGTGAAGGTCTTGAGGAATAAAGAGGTACCCTTAGTTCAGGTCCAGTGGGAGCACCGGAAGGGATTCGAGTGGACTTGGGAGCTGGAGTCTGAGATGCGAGAGCAGTACCCCGAGTTGTTTCCGGAAGATGACTTCGAGGGCGAAGTATGATTCAGTGGGGGAGAATTGTAACATCCTGACTCCCAGGTATTATATTTAATTTATTTTATTCATTTTGTCAGAGCAACTCGACGAGTTGGATGCCCCAACTCACCGAGTAGAGAATATTATGGCCGCGAAATTTTAGAGTCTACTCGACGAGTCGGAGGACCCCGACTCAACGAGTAGGAGCTGAGCGAGAAAACCCTAATTTTCAGGGTTTGTGTCCTATTTAAAGGACCTTAAGCCCTCATTTCCGCCACCCTGGTCACCCTGCTACACTATGTGAAACCCTAATCGAGCTATAACCTTGTGTGTGAGAAAGAAAGGCTAATATTTTGAGTTTTAGTGCATTCTTGGAGGAAAGTTGAAGAGCCAAAGACTTTGGGCGAGAATGAGCTTTTGGATCTAGTGTTCATTCATACCAAGCTTCTGTTTGAAGGTAAAAAGTCACCATCTTGCTCATTGGTTGGTTAGATCTTGTTTTTGGGCATTTAAGCCTTTTTCCCATCCTTCTTGGTGTCCTAGAGAATGGACTGAAGAGACTCGACGAGTCGGTTAGGGTTTCCCCGATGAGTCTGGGCACATTGTAACTCGACGAGTTGAGTTGGACTTTCACGATATTTCTGAGAAAACGAAGGAACTCGATGAGTCGCATAGATGCACTCGACGAGTTGAGTCAACATGGATTGTTGACTCGAGTGTTGACTTATGTTGACTTTTAGGGTTTGGTCAAGACATGGATTATGGAGACCATGGAAGGGTAAAATGGTCTTCTACCCTTTCCAAGAGTTAGAGAAAGTGGTTAGCTTAAAATGTTTAAGTTGAGGTTATAAGTGTTAATTAGAGATGATTATGATGTATAGGCGAGGATTAGACCGTTCAAGGGGTGCAAGGTTTATTTCCTTACTTACAAGGTGAGTCTTCTCTCTATACTTACCATGAGTGGTAACTTGTGTGACCAGAGGGTCTTGTATGCTATTATTGAGTATTGTGATATCTTGCATTATGTCTTTGTGATTTATGTTGTGTATTATTCTGAGCTTTATTGAGTTAGGACCGGAGGGTCCAACCCGAGTTGTGGGACCGGAGGGTCTTCACTGAGACACATTGACCGGAGGGTCTTTATCGAGATTCAGCCATGAGAGGCTAATGAGATGTGTGTCGTATTTTGGGGAACTCACTAAGCTTCGTGCTTACCGTGTTATGTGATATGTGTTTCAGGTACTTCTCAGGATCGCGGAAATGTGCCAGTTTGATTGTAGACACGAGATGGAGTTATGTTTTTGAGGATCCTAGATTTTTATTCAAAAAATTTTGGATTTGTGTTTTTGATAATTTGACACTTTGGGTTTTTGTGAAATGTGTTCATGAGAATTATGTGATTTTAAAATGAAAATTTTGTTTTGAAAATTTATAGTGTTTCATAACAAATCATTTTACCATAATTTCCAATCACTTTATCATATAATAATCTAAAAAATTATACTTTTCTCTCCTAAAATGATTTCTAGCCATTTCTGGTAATGTGGGAAACCCAAAAGGACTTTGTTTCTAATTACAAGAATATACCAATTTAGTTGCTGGTAAGGTTGTAAAAAACGTTCAACGTTAGCTAGTCGGTTGAATTGGGTTAAGGGATTAAGCGGCTAGGCGGGGATTAATCGGGGACCATTAATTGCTAATTTGTTGAATATTAAAAAATTAAATATGACTAATATCATAACAAAGTTGATAAATACCATTAATATCATAGCAAAATAGGTTAATATGATTAATACAACTCTAATCATTCCTAAAATAGTTTTTATTTTGATAGAACTTCTTCAAAATATTAAAACTTCATCGTTTTCTAATGATTCACTCATTGTGTATGCAAGGATTAATCGTTATGCGCCCTCTAATCGGTCGAGTAACGCCTAGAGATTAATCGAAGAATAATCGGGACATAGTCGGGATTTGTACAACACTGGTTACTGGCTTAGACACCTTAATTCAACACTAAAAGCATGAAGTAATATTTATTTTAGCAATTATATAGTGGCATAAAAATAGTGCCACTAAAACTCAAAAGTTCTTTAGTGGCATAATAAAAAAGTGTTACTAAAACCCAATAAGGCTGCAGCAACACAACAAAAAAGTGCCACTAAAGACCTTTAGTGGCAGCGCTTTTAGTGACACTTTTTTTTGTGCCGCTGATTCCCCAGGGGGGGCTTTAGTGGTATATTTTCGGTTTTTAGTGACACTTTTTCTATGCCACTAAATGTCATTTAGTTTGTAGTGTTGATTGGATCTTTGCATTCTCCATCAACTACCAAGTCTCCCCTTGAGGACTCAAATGACATCAAAAGTTGTTATTCTTGTACCTTCTCTATGGTTGTTGTTTTCTTTCCAACTCTTAATACATTCATATCCCAATTTTATCTCAAACCTTTAGACCCCAAATAAAATCAAAACATTAAAGATTTGCACATAAACTTGTTCACCATAAAACCTTTAATTTATTCAGGGTGATGAGAGAGGGGCATCCTCCTTTCTTAAGGAGAATATAAGGTCGGGAACAGACGTCCCAGTATGCAAGTTTTCCCAGCAACAATGCCCCTTTTCCCTCCTTCATCGTCTTTATCAATATCAACCGACCCATTACTATTCATCTTAGAATATGAGAGTGGTATGGTTACTCTGTTTTTCTTTTTCTTTGTAGGATGTTAGAGAGTATGAGAGAGGATTAATCGTGCTATAACCCTATCAATGTTCCTTGTATCACAACTCTAGAATTTCAATACATTCTAAAAAAATAATTCAATAGATGATAAGAATAATCAATAAAATTAAAATAAAAATCATAAAATAAGATAGAAAAAAAATAAACATAGGATTCGAGTTGCAAAGAAGGTGAGCTGATAGGTCTCGTTTGGCATATTCGTCTTGGTCGGAGATTATAGAGAAGAGAATACAAATGTACCTCAGATGACTATTTGAGAGCAAGCGGTGGTGTGTTGAAAGAACCATCGACTAGGGGGTCTTTGGTGGTGGCGGCAAATAATGGTCACGTTGGTAAGATTAGAGTTTTTGGTAAGAGAGTTGAGAGGATACACTTTTTAAAGAGATAGAGGGAGAACCTTGTAGAAGATACACCGAGCCATATATCATTTGATTATAAGGCCATATTCTTCAATTGCATTAAAATAGCCTTAATTTCTTCAAGATTCTTCATAATATTTGTTAAAATAGAATGCACTAAAGATTTAAAGGCGATTGGAAGAAGATGCAAAATAAAATTAAAGCCCTTTCAGAAGCAAAATGGGTTTATTGTAGATGCATATTGATGATTGTTTTGGAAAGGATAAAGGATTAGTTGTGAATTTGAGGGTGACATAATCAAATGGACGTGTATGCATGATATTAGGAAACAAACACATATAGAATATTTATTGATTCTCTGATTTAATAGAATACATTAGGTGTGAGACCAATGTATTACACTGATTGATTAAAATAAAAGTTAACTATCAGTGTAGATATTAAAACATCAACAACGTGTTTTAACTCAAGATTAATGATACAATTACATGTCGTACTATAAAATATAAATTTTAATATATAAAAAAACTATACTCATACATAATAATACCAATGTTTTATTTAAATTATTTATAATAAAATAATTTAGTTTTCTAATAACTTCTATTATTTTATTATTCTCAAAAAGATGTTTAAACAAGTTTTATTTGGAAAATAAGAAAACAAAAGAACAAAATATCTATGAAAAATATCAAAAAAAAAGTATGTTAGTAGCATAATTTTAAATCCATATAACATATATAGATACACGGGAAAGTTTTTGAAAAAATAGAATATATGTGAATTTGAATGCCAAATAGTAGCATAACTTTAGGTTAATAATATCAAATAAGAAAAATAAACGGAAAATTGATTTAAATGACATAAGAATTGAAATTTGGAAGGAATGTGTATTCTTAAATCCTCATAAATACATAATTAGATGGTATTTTTAAATAAAATTGATAAATACAAGGAAATGACATGTGGATTTTATTAAATTCAAAAACACCATAAAATGTCAAGTGTCATAATTAATGACAAAGTGACATGTAACAAAAGAACTTTCATTTACTAGAAAAAATTAATGTAATTTAATTCAATAAACCGCATAATGACATGCGTTTTTTGAAATAATTCAAAATTTCCGCATAATAACATGTGTCAAAAGGCTTAAGATAAGCCGTAGTAAAAAAATTTATTTATTAGGATATATATGTATTAGTGACTTTAGCATCAAAGTATAGCTTCTCAACCTGGTTAATTGTTCGAAGTAGCAATAGCCGTCAGATCAAAGACATGAGCATGTGGGGAGCCAAATACTTATCAATGGGCAATATAACTTTTTTGGATACAGAAGAAGAAAAACTAAAGGAAACAAACTACTGGTGAAGGCATTAATTAATCTTGATAACAAATTTAGTAGCGAGATTATTGTATCAAGGTACATATATATGCATACTCACACAAAAGATTAATAATAGTTTTATATCATAACATATAATATGTGTTTAAGAATCAATTAAAAAGTTTGGTAACTATAGAACTTAAAGCCTCATCTGCAATAATCTTATACATCCTATCAGTTGGATGAACTGCATCCCAGAATAAATATCTTTCTCGGTCAACACATGCACCCAATCCTCTACAAGTAATACCATATTCAAACGTTCCTGTTCCGCAACAACCCTTTGACGTCTCTAGAAACCCTGTACATGAAATTATTTAATTCAAAATTTGAACTACACAATATATAATTCATAAAAAATGGATTACGTAAAGTTGTCAAAATACAACATTAAAACTTACCATATTTTCTAGGGTTTTGGGTTGCACTTAGAATGAGATTATAAGCATCAATATAGGCTGTTTTCATCCCTAAGGATGTTTTTAGTGCAACCAGTTCGTTCTTGATCTTGTTATTGAATGAAAGAGCAACATGGTTGTATTCGTCGTCACATTTAGTTGTACCCTTCAATGTCTTCACTAAAGGCATACATCCAAATGGAACAACCCCAACAACCACCAATCTTCTTGCTCCTAGAGCATGCATTTTCTACACAAACCCATATTCAAGAAAGGTATTAAATCAAATACAATATACAGATTACAAGAATTAAATCTAATAAAAACATAAGTAATTAAAAGAACCTTGGCGTAATCGTGAAAGTTAGAAATTAAGTAATCTCCATATTGTTCCACAGTGTATTGGGCGCATCGTGTAGGTTCCACGTAGTAGTTTTGGAGAAAATCATTGGTTCCCATGCTCAATACAAAAACCGCATTTTTTATGGATTCAGCAGCTTTTTTTGGTCCTATCTTTAGGCTAAGTTGTCGTTTGTAATGTGCAAAATACTTCAATTGATGCCACAAGGTCAACACATTCTTCACATCAATAAAAGATAGATCGAATCAATATTTTGTGCCCTTTGTTATAACCATAGTAAATTCAAACAACATAAAGAATGAGGCTGAAAATTGTTTCTTGCAAAGTAATCACAAAAAAAAAAAAAAAAGTAAAAAAGCTTTATCGGTCATAAACACATTTAAAATGATTCTTAGGGTGGTAGATAGTGTCGGATATAAAACTGAGCTTCTTCTAAAATAACTTAAAGTGGAAATAATGGTATATTCAGAGATAGTCAAACTTTAATGCCAAAAAATATCAAAGAGTAAACTACACGAATGGTCCCTATGGTTTGGGGTAATTTGCACGATTGGTCCCTAACTTATTTTTTTAACTCGGAAGGTCCCTACTGTTTGTTTTTGTTACGCGCTTGGTCCCTATCTTATCTAAAAAGACTATTATTTAAATAGGGAAAAATGATGGGGTAGGTAAAGTAAGGTAAGGGGGTGGGGTTGGAGGTGTGTTTATTTAAATAAATTAAAAAATAAAGTGCAAAATATTCTTTTTAGGTAAGACAGGGACCAAGCGTGTAACAAAAACAAATAGTAGGAACCTTCCGAGTTAAAAAAAATAAGTTAGGGACCAAACGCGCAAATTATCCTAAACCATAGGGACCATTGGTGTAATTTACTCAATATAAAATAGGTTAAATTACATAAAATGAGATGAAATAAAAAAGGTTGAAGGGGGTCGAAAGCCCTCAAAATCTATTGAAACTGCCTAAAATTGGTTAAAGGGTTTTTATTTTATTGTAAATTATTGTTTATGTGAATATATTTATCTGATTAATTATTTATATATTAGAAAATTACGAAAAATGTTTTTATGTTTGCTTGATGCTATAATAAACTAATTTTGACATGTTGCCTAAAGAAATAATAATAACTGTAAATAAGAAGACATACCGAAACTTGAGCAGTGAGGTTATCATATCCGGAACCAGCGGAAGCAAAACTAACTCCATGCGAAAGATCGAAAGTTCTTGGTACTCCTGGCTCGAGATATGGCCGGATAACTTTCGTATAACCCAGTGCCTCAGCTATTCATCATATAATTAAAAAAAAATAAAAAAAATTGATATGATTAGAATTTTTAATGAAGTTTTCTAAGAAATCAGGTGTCATATATAGTAGAGAGGAGGTTTAAAGCAACATTACTTTTGAAAAGTTCAAAATTTGAGGAACAAGGTTATAATGTCGATGTATGCATTTTGGGATTAATATTTTTATTATATGCTTATTTTATTAATATTTTATTTTATATATGAACTATTTTACTATTTTAGCTCAACTTATATTTAAAAAAATAATAAAATATTAATAATTTGCAATATAAAAATTTGACGATAAAGAACGACCGGCATATAAAAGGATTTTATTATAAATTTAGTATAAGTTTTGGTATAAATAATTAAATACTATAAGATATTGTTATTTCTTTCTAAAATAATCGATTTGTTCGAATCCCTAGATTCGATGTTTGCAAATAAAAATTAAATCGAATGTGACCTATACATTTTTTTAGCGTTCTTATTAAAAGTAATATAGATATCCCATAGTCGTTACATATTTTTGTAAATTAAAATTACTTTTTAAAATCAAACACTACACGGATTTATTGGGAGACATTCAATGTTAGCATTCCAATGTCATAAATAGAAAACGACGTTGCCCGGTTTCTTTCAGTTAATGCAATCCATTAACTGCCAATACAGAAGTATCAGGACAACCATCGGGTTTTGTAAACCTATCCAAAAGTAGGCGTAGTTTTGCTTAAAAGTATAATTTGTCATGTTCAATATATAACAAACTAACATAAAACACAGTAGTAAGTTTTTTTTGGGATAAAAATGTATAAACAGATTAAAAACTTTTATTTTCAAGTCCAACTGATGGCTACTATAACAACTTCAAAAATACAATATTTATTCTACCGATAATTATTGTATTCAAAGTAAAGGTTTTACGCCAATTGGCTAAACAACTTCTAATCAATTATTGTTACAAACTTTTATCATTCTCTAACATCTTAGATAAATGAATTCTAAATTTTAATTAAATTTTAATAATATGTATTGTTTCATTTGAAAATAATTTCTTAACTGACGTCTCAAAATTCAAATTACGATGGATCGTGCAAGAGTCAAGCCTGGAATTTAGATTACTTGGGCCCTCCTTAGATACGCATAAGGTCACCAATAGCTATACATCATGGGCCTACTTGAAAACTATCGATCCATTTAGATAAGTATAGATATTTTATACTTTTAGAGTTTGAGTAGATTTGAATAATAAATAAAAAAAATGACAAACGACAAGAGTGACTCTAATAATTTTAGAAACAAATCTGTCATTCTATGGTAATGTTTTTTTACTTTAATAATTGCGATCCGAAATATATATATAT